TCCACAAGAAGAATTTAAATGAATGTATTTCTTAAATGCTTAATAATAATGTTTAGTTATCCAGAAGAGGGAGATCATATCACTAAATGGCAGTTAAAAAATACTAATAACTACATATAGAGTTACACATTTGTAATGACACAAACTTGTCTGCCTTTCTTTTTTCAACTACCTTTTCCTAATGTCCAAAAGACCCATTTAATTATTTTCCTTCTAAAGAAATCTTCTCCACTACATATGACTATAAAATTTTAAAGAATATTTTACATATGAACCAGTTCCCTCAAAATCATACTGCTTTTTTTTTTTTGGTGTGTGTGTGTGTGTGTGTGTGTGTGTGTGTGTGTGTGTTGCTAGGGATGGAATCCAGGACTGTAAAGCAGGCTAGGCACGTACTCTGCAACTGAGCTACACCCCTAGCCCTTTTTAATTTTTATTCGGACACAGGGTCTTTCTAAGTTGCCCAGACTGTCCTTGAACTTCTGATCCTCCTATCTTGGCTTGAGTCACTGGGATGACAGGTGTGCCCATGACACCTGGCAAGTCACACTCCTTTCTATATACTTTTCTACAGGGTAAGAATTCTCAGGGTTTGTTTATTTATTTACCTATTTTGTTTTTAAACTTACATGTGTACATAAAATCTCATTGACCAGTGTTAGTCTTCCTCTAGGAACAAATCTCTACTTATGGGGACATTCTTCAGACAACATTTACAATATAATGTTACATTTACAATGTAACATTTATATATCCTTGTGGAGAATTGGGTCCCTGTAGTCCCCATTCATTTGAGATGAGGCTTTTGGAAGACCACATGGAAATATATCACAGGGGCCTTGTAGCTTATCTATCATAAGGCCTTGGTTTTTACTCTATAAGAAATGGGAAGCCACTGGTGGGTTCTGAGCACAGGAGAGGCTTGATCTGACTTAGGTGCAGAAATTACATTTTTGTTGCTATTAAAATAGATAGTAATTAGCCAGGCATGGTGGCACATACCTGTAATCCCAGTGGCTTGGGAGGCTGCTGCAAGAGGCTCAAGAGTTCAAAGCCAGCCTCAGCAACTTAGCGAGGCCCTGAGCAACTCAGTGAGACCCTATCTCTAAATAAAATACAAAAAAAGGGCTGAGGATGTGGGTCAGTGGTTAAGTGCCCCTGGGTTCAATCCCTGGTCCCACCCCCCCTCCCCCAAAATAGACAATAATAGAGCAAAGGTAGAAGCTAAGAAAGCACTTGGGACTCTATTGCAAGGATCCAGCATTCTGACATGGGGGCTTTCTGATACGGGGTAGCAAGAGAGGCAATTTTGAACATTGTATTTTAAAGGTTGAGCTGAGAAGATATCCTGATAGATTAAATGTGGAATTTGGAAGTAGGAAAGTGATCAGGAATGACCATAAGTTTTTTGGCCTAAGCAGGTAGAATGAAGTTTGTGTTTGCGGGAAGCCACCTGTGAATTACTTGAGGGTCTTCTCTTGGTGTGGCAGCCGGGGAGATTTTAGGTTTAACCTTGGGAACTATCTGTATCTCTCCCATGAAAAAGATTGCCCAAGGCACATGACCTTTATCTCTGATCTACTAGGAAGACCCCTCACAGTGGCTCCGAAGATGGGTGTAACCCCTTGGGAACTGGACAGCCCACCTTCAACCTTTTTTTGGTGAAGAACATTCTATGGAAGGCCTTTGAAATTCCCTGACATAAATAAAGCAAGCACGGGCTTCATTTTGCTTTTTAATATACAGGCTCCATCTGTATGATCAGCTAACCTGTCCCACCCCTGCTTTCTGAAAATATTTTCTGTGTCCTATAGTTTTCTCAGTGTTCTATTTTTCTTAGATTTTATTTTGTAGCCATCCCATTCCACCAAGGGGAACCCCATTCCCAACGCCTATGTGGGATGCGAGTGAGAGTGTTGGTCAGCTTTCCATTCATTTCTGTAGCAAATTGCTGATATAAATCATGTTGTAAATAGAAAAGTTGATTTTGATTGACAGTTTAGGAGACCCCATTCATGATCTGGTGGACACATTGCGTTTAGTCCTCTGGTGGAAGAAGCAGCATATTATGGCGGGAGCACAAGACAGAGCCAAGCTGTTCATCTCATGGCTGGGATATGAAAGAGAGGAGAGGAAGGAGCTAGGATTCCAATATCACCTTCAAGGATGCACCCCACAATGACTGGAAGACTTCCCACTAGGCCCTACCTCTTAAATGTTCTAACACCTCCCAGTGGTGCTATAGGATGGAGACCAAACCTTTAACACAGGAGCCTTTGGGGCTCCTTATCCAAACCATAGCAGAGTTGCCACCAATTGAGACAGAGAAAGGTACTGGAGCAGCCAATTGGGGTGGTGGATGGAGGGTTCAGTTTGGGACATGTTATGCTCAAACTATTATACATCTAAGTGGAAATCAAATGTAAACAGTACGTCTGATCTGGTGATAGAAAGTGGTCCTGTATCTCTAAATATATGCAAGGAGCCGAGACCAATATGAGTTTTTTAGGAAGAAAGCAAGCAACCATCTTGACTGAAATTATTCCATGTCCTTTGATAATGACATTCAGTTTGTCCAAAATAACCATAAATCTTGCTCATTATACATAGTTACATTCTGACTTGGTAATTAAAGTTCTCTACAAGCTAACCCTTTCTTGCCTTTCTGTGGTTTTTACTTCCTTACTCCATATTACCCCTCGATGGTAAATTCCTACTTTTTCAAATGCCATTTAGGATGTCTTGGGGAGGAAATTAAATCTCAAAGTAAAAATCTCAAAGTAATATGCTTTATGCACTGTAATTCTATTGAGTAAAATCAGAAGTAGGAAATATATATAGTATGATGGTGAAGAGTATAGGTGCCAGCCTTAGAATGAATCTTATCTCTTCAGTTCCAGTTTCTTCATCAGTGAAATTGAGACCCAAGAGAATTACGGAGAGTAGTGATATAATAAATGTATCACACTTAGTAAAATACCAGACATGTAGAAAGTTCTTAAATGGTTAGCTATTATGATGATGATAGGCAGCTTTACTTTTTATTTTCAATTGGAACTAAGACTGAAGATTTTCTATAATTTTTACATTTTTATTTTTCAGTAAGTATATACCTCACTTTAGAAAACTTAGTTGTAGAATGTTAGAGAAAAAGAAGGGAAAAGGCATTAGAAACAGAAATAAGAGTCTGATCCAACCTATTGGTACCTCCATCTGCCTCCTTACTTCCCTCACCCAGTACCTTGCTCATATTTGGGTAATTAACAAATCAAATCAAATTGACTCATAAGGGAGAATACTAAACTTATCTCTTCTCCCTTATGCTATTTCAATTGTGTATATTTTGTTTTTAAGCATGGTTCTTTGGGGGAAAACATAATATGTTTACTATAGAAAAACAGATATTCTTTTAGCCTAGTAATTTTGAAAGCAAAATATGGTCTCCATGGTAAGAAGATGGGAAAAGAGTAGTATTAATAGAAGATAACATGGTGCTAATGCATATTTTAGAATATGAAGGAAGGATTGCTTAGCCTCCCTTCCTAAAGCAATACTGTGAACTATGAATTATGAAAAATTGGTGAACAGAAGAAAAAGAAGCCGGCCATAATAATATACTGGCTCAGAGAGTGAAAGTCCATACTCGACTCCCAGAAACGTAGAAGACCCTCGTACCCATGACACATGGAAGCTTAATTGGTCTTCCCATGATTTGGAACAAATGCTTTAAAAATACTTCTGACCTCTTAGAAGCAGATTTTATAGACATTTAATGGTGCATTAATTCTTGCATCTGAAGTTGCCAAAGGGATGAAATGTCAGCCTGGCTAAAAGCCAAATAAAGCAATGACTGGCACTGCCCACTCTTCTCCAGGCCAAGTTTAGATCCCAAACAATCACTTCCTTTTCTAGATCCTTGACTCTCTTCACTTAATGTCTAAACAGTACTTTGCCCTCACATTTTTTTTCATATTGTTCTCTGGCAGGATGGTTATTCTTATTTATCTGTGGCTTAATGCCTACAATGATACTTCAGAGTTTCTTTAATGCATATGTTTTTATAATCTAAATTTGTAGAGGTCATAGACTCTTGCTCCATATCCTATTCCCCATCTGTAACCTGTACTTATTTTACATTTCTCTGTCTTCCCACTGATGTACATATGTGTGTATGATACATATGTGTTTCCTAAAATAGAGATATTTAATATACCCATTAAAATGAGACAATATCCACAAAATTTACCATAAATGATCTTATCTTTTTAAATAAACAGAACCAAACATATATATTTGTATAAGTCCCTTATAAAAATTTGAAGTGATATTCACATAGAATTATTGAATAATTATTTGGAATTAATTCTAGAGCCCTTTTACAATCTTCATAAGGAAATATCCCTGCTACATTAGAGTAACACTTCTGGTTTCACCCAGATTAGTACTACTCACCTAATTTATCACACCAAATACCAAATTTTCCTTGATAGTTTCCACTGTTCATGGAAATCCTTAGAGAATGAAAATTTGACCCATTAAGGATTTTCGGAAGAATGTGAAACATATCATAAGGACAGTTCCAAAAGATGGTTACAAAATTATTTTTCAGAAATGCCAGAGTAGTTCAAATAAGCCATATAGTTCCCACATATTTTAGAAGTGAAAAATTCCCTTTGGGGTGGGAAAGTCCTTTTGTTTCTTAAAAACAAATTGAACTAATTTTTTAAAGCATTTGATCTTTATTTTATGTATGTATTTATTTATTTTAATGTAGTGCTGAGTATTAAACCCAGGGCCTCACCTGTGCTAGGCAAGTGCTCTGCCACTGAGCCACAACCCCAGCCCTGATCTTACTATTTTATAGTCACATCATAAAAAGGAACTCAAAAGTTCTTTTGGTTAAACTATATTCAAGTACATAGCCTGTTTAAAACTTCTAATCTGTGTATGTGGAGAATATGCTCTTAATAATAACTAGATGTCTGTCTTATTGTCTCTAGGTCTATACTTGATAAGAAGGAGCTAATGGAGTTTGCTCAACTTGGCTGCTACTTGGAATATGATCTCTTTGGTACTGAATTTCTCAATTATCAATTCAACCCAGATATTGATATGCCCGATGATAACAAAAGAATTAGAAGGTAAATATGATAAAATCTCTCATAGTGTTCTCTTTTACCAGTCCTTTTGGATTTTCATATCTGGGTGAGTATTAGCAAAGATTTAGAAAACAGTAAGCAGGCTGAACCACAGACTTTCAGAGAAAAATATATCTGAGCTGTTTCAGGGAGAAAATTTCTACATATTATTTCAAGGAGAAAATGAGTCATCCTAAGTAGGATAAGGCTTAGCAGAGCCTTAGAAGTTCACTTCAGATGGGCAACTGACAAAAAAAAATAAAACATATAATACTCAATCCCTGCCACGACAGTAAGAGAACAAAAGACATTTTCTTCCTCTTTCCTGTAATGAAATAAGCTGTTTCTATTCCAGGTTGGCCACAATAAAGTCAGGACTTCCTACAATTAATATTTGAAATGCTTCATTCAAAGAATTCTTTAAAGGTGCAACTTAAATGCTAAAAATATAATGTGCAAGCACCCAATATCATATAAAATACAGCCTCCCCAAATTTCCTAATTTGTAATAAAGCAAACAATAATAGGATGCTTTGCAATCACGTAGAAAATTTTAGCAAGTCAAAGATAACTACCCATGGTCATATGAAGATTGAATGAACCAAGCTCAGGAACCTGGGAAGAGAAACAGATTTGGGTCTGATAATGAAGACTTTAGAAGTATTGTTGTTATCTTGTGGGGCCCTGAAGTAAGGATGTAAGTCTCAGGGCAGAAACATACATTTATGTCTCTGATTTGGGCTGGGACATAAATTTGGACTTCATTGGTAAGTGATAGTTCGATCCAAGAGAAGGAATGAGACCACTCACAGCAAAGATAAGGATCAGGACCCGGGGACCCAGATATTTGTGGAATAGAGTTTTAGGAACAGCCATTCAAGAACAGGTGAAAAGATTTTCAAATTGATAACATCAGAGGAAAGTGTTATGAAAGTCCATGGAGAAGCGTGCTTAAAGGTGAAGGGTTAAACAACTGTCATATGAGAGAATCAAATGAGATCAAGACTGAAAGTACCCATCGAATCTGACAATGAGGAGTTTTTCCTTTCATGGTCAGTAAGTATGGCCTTGAGGAATGAGGAGGTGAGAAAGAAGGAAGCAGGTGGGGCTGACATTAGAAGATAACACAGGATCTCTGGAAATGTCCATTAAGGGGTGAATGGCTTATGTGGCTTACAGCAAGAGCAGTGACAGAGAGAAACGAGACAGAAAGAATGGATCCAGGAAAGCAATGGCATTGCACAGGAGAATTATGGAACTTATATGAAATAAAGTGTGCAAAGTTTCTGAGTGCAGAATTTGGAAGTATTCAATAGATGGTTCACTTTAAAAAATCTGGAGAGATAAGAAATATAGATCAGGACTCCTTACAAGATGAATAGATGGAATCCGGAGAGTAAATAGAAAATTGGTTGAAAGGATGATTTTCTCCATTGCAATGAACAAGCACAAGCAAGCAATGGTGTGAATGCAGAAAAATGTCTTAGTGAGAGGAACAGGAAATGGAGTCCACATAGCCATGGGTTTTCTAGTACCCTGGTGAGGTAAACATGGTCATCTCCTGAAAAAGAAGGAGTGGATGCAGGGAAGGAAGGATCTTGGAGAGGGGGAATAAAGGCAAGGCATGCTGTTGGTGAGTGAGGGGGACATGCGAGACCCAGTGGAGGCTGGAAAGCATGCTATAATGACTGTGTATGGCCACCAATTCACATGATTTGGGGATTGTTTTCCAAAAAAAAAAAATAATGAGTTTTTGGAATAGGTTCAGAGAAACTTTGTGGGTAGAATGAGAACATCAGAACAGTCTGATCTAGGGTTGGGATTCTATCTGAAAAAATGTGGGTGATAGCCAGAGGAACCAAGGAGGGGTTGACATAAGGGTCATTGAATCAAGCTGGAGGGAAGAAATGTAGAAAGAAATAGGAATAGCACATCAGGGCAAGGAACTGGAAGCTTCAATGAAGTGGATGAATATGTACAGTGCAAGGGGGTAAATAGTAACAGTAGGCAGAGGTCACATGATCAGAGTGGGCAGCAGAAAGTTGAGCCATCAGAGGAGCAGTTCTCCATGATGACAAGGACTAGAACATGGTTATGAGTGTAACACGTTGGTTGAAATAGGAGTAAGCAAAACTGGAATTGAGAGGTGATGTCCAGAGAGTATGAGACTTGAGAATCAATAGTTAAACATGGCAGGCTCTGGGGCTGAAGGGACTATCCTGAGCCAGTGATCATAGTTGGAACATCCGTAGGATTGCTACTCTGGGAGGTTGATCCTGACATTCTCATGCCTTTTGCTTCCCCTGTGTATTGACATTGCTCCTTGCCTCAGTACTATTAAAATGTGCTTAAAGTTTAATATCATAGGACAGAGCTAGTTGATAAATGTTTTGCTAGCTATGTAAGGTGGCAACCACTCTACATGAGCAAACCAATTGAATGGACTTGACTGATGAAGCTAGCAGCTAGGATTTTTTGTTTTGTTTTGTTTTGGGTAATGGAGATTGAAACTGGGGGCACTTCACTGAGCTACATCTCCAGTCCTTTTTTGAGAAAAGTTCTCACTAAGTTGCTGAGGCTAGCCTTGAACTTGAGATTCTCCTGCATTCCTCTCCTGAGTTGTTAGGATTACAGGTGTGCCCCACTACACAGGGCTCCTGTTTCTTTTCTTTTTAAAATCTGTTTTAATTTGTTATACATGACAGTAGAATGCAATTTGCTGCATCATATATAATGGAGTATAATTTCTTATTCTTCTGGTTGTACATGATGTAGAATCACACCAGTTGTATAATTATATATGTACATAGGGAAATAATGTCTGATTCATTCTACTATTCTTCCTATCTTCATACCCCCTCCCCTCCCTTCATTCCCCTCTACCTAAAGTAACTCTATTCTTTCCTAGTCCTCCTCCCATTGTGAATTAGCATCTGCATATCATAAATGGATGGAACTGGAGGATCATGCTAAGCAAAATAAGCCAATCCCCCCAAACCAAAAGCCAAATTTTTCTTTTTTCTTTTTTTTTAATACTTAAACCAGTTCTATGACAGATTTGTTGTTCCTTTTTGCTTTATGATTTTAATTTTCTTGCTCAGGAATACCAATATTGACAAACAGGTTTCCCTAGGGAACTACCAGTTTGGTTTTTACTCAGGAGGGAATATTTTTTGCCCAAAGATAATCATAATTTAAAATGGATTGGTAGGTCTTTCTTATCTTTTATGATCTTAAAAACATGATTTCATGATGAATGTCTTCAACATGTTTTGCAATTCATCTTGGAAATTGGAAGTTTGTTCTCTGGATCTGCTTTCTTTTTCTAAGTGATGTGTGTCTTTCACCCCTAGCCTTTCCACGAGGTTCCCAGACCCTCTGGAAGAAGAGACAGGAGATCTGAAAAAGGGCATATATAAAGGAGATATGAGGGAAAGATGACCAGTGGCTTCCACAGAATTCCTTTTTAGCACTTTCTGACTAGTAGTTCAAGAACAAGAATTTAATTTTGGTTATCTTTTATTGAGCCAAATTTAATTATTCTGAATACATGAACATACATCAATATTTAATATGTGAATAGATATGTATGTATATATATATATATAAATGGGATACATGTGTGCTATTTCATATATGCATATATTTATAGGTATGTGTTTGTATGTATGCTTAATTTCTTTAAATTATAACCATGCCTTGGGGTCACTCATGTTAATACTGTGTACTCCAGAACAGCTCATGTTAATAGCTGAATGACCTTGTGGGTTATGGGTACTCCATACCCCATTGTTCCCCACACCTTGGTTTCTATCATTCATCTGCAGTCCTGCTTAGCCATAGTAGTCTGACATCTCTGAAGTGCAAAAACATATAAGCATGCTTCTGCCTACCTCTGGTATTCAGCACCACAAATTCTGTGTCTAACACCTGTTTTCAATCTTCTGCTCCATTTCTCAAATCTTATTATATCTCTGCCTTTTCACACTTTGTAGTCTCTCTCTAATATTTGTTTGCAAAACACTAACTCATTTGTATTGCTATAATTACTGTGATTTTTTGTCTTCTCATCTGTAGCGGTTCCTCCCTTCTGGCGGCATCTCTGTAACTCCTGTTCTTCTACACGGTGCCACATGAAAGATCATCTCTTCGTTAAGGCATGATCAGGCAGGTTTCCCTAGTAGTCAGAATAGTATTGTGTTTCTAGAGCCAGAACATGATCTGACTCATGAGATAACTGATCTCCAGATCATTGACTTAATGAGCTTTATTAGTTCCCTGTTTTAAATAAGAACATTTTACCCACCATATTCTTTCTTTACTGATTCCCAATTTGATAACCTTGTGTTTCAAAATATGACAAAAGGCGTCTCTTTTTTGAGAGAGAGAGAGAGAGAGAGAGAGAATTTTTAATATTTATTTTTTAATTTTTGGTGAACACAACATCTGTTATTTTTATGTGGTGTTGAGGATTGAACCCAGTGCCCTGTGCATGCCAGGCGAGCGCACTACCGCTTGAGCCACATCCCCAGCCCTGACAAAAGGCATCTTGTAGGAGTTTGTTTATCCGTATGTATGCCTTTGTGGTAGTGAGTTCTCATAACTCTCAGATAAAGAAAAGAAATTTTAAAAATTTCCAAACTATTCATAAAACATTGAGGAGAAAGTGTCTTCTACAAGTTCCTGTACTACAATATTCCTTTGCAGGTGTGGATGAAAGTACATCACACTAATTTTCAGCATCTTGTATGCATTCTGTCAAATCTTTCCCTTTTTTCCACTAATGATCATATGCCCCTTCTAGATAATTCCCTTAAATAGAATTAGTTCCAAAAGGAATTGCAGATCAGGGCACATTTCAAGGAACCAAATAACCTGATGGCACAAATGGCATTCAGTGCATTTATGGGGCAGGCATGGGATACCCATGGTATGAATGCTGATTCCTAGACAAAGCACCAAGGTTGGCTCTTTTGCTCTGGTACTTACATTCCTTTGACCTGCAAATACAAGATCTAATCTTCAATTATGATGTATTCTAAAATGCACATTCCCAGAGGGCAGGACTTTGAGCCTGAGTGTTTTGTGTGAGTGCCTTACATTTTGCTTACCATGGTAGTTATTAAATAGGTCTCATGCAGGGAATGCAAAGAAATGGTTTCTACTGAAAGCAAAAAGGATATCTTTCAAATGCTCAGAACCTGGAGGAAAGTGCTGTCCCCCCAGCTGCATCCATTTGGGACTCTCAGCACCCATATAGACTGCACAAGAATCTCAGAGAAGAACCATTGTTTGCAAGTTTCATTTTTGCCTTACCATGGGAATCAAGACAGACCCTGCCCAGAGTCCAGACACATACAGATGGTGGCTGTCGGGAGGTGACTCACACTACAGATTACAGCACTTAACTAAGCAAAGAGGATTACATTTTTAGACAATAGTCAGGAAGCTGTTTCTTTGTCAACTGATTATAAATTTAAAGGAACCACTTATTATTTTAGCAATCTTATTGATAAGGAAGAAAGGTGGAGTAAATTTTTTTTGGTCAATTTAACCCAATGCTCAGAGACCGGTACTGAGTCATAGTTCCCATAGAATTTAAAGGAACAAAATCTCAAAAAACAGAAGTGCTTTTGCCAACCCTTCTTCACTGACTGTACAACTGCCCTTCATTTGCAAACCAACTGATTTTTACTCTCCCAGGGCTTTATCATGAAGATTCCTTTTGTTTCTGTATTTTAATCCCAAATACCCACTGATTTTATTTGCTAGATCAAAAGAGAGAGTGAGAATGAGATCTCAAAATGGGCTTAAAAGGGGGGCATTTGAGAGATCAGAGCTGAATACAAATCTGGAATGAAGTTATTTAGTGAAATGCTAACACGGTCATTCATTGGAACTGGCACATCCTATTAGAAGCTATCTTTAATGCAGCATTGCCAGGCATTGCCATAAATATCACAGGCTAGAAATTTCTGTGTGCGTAGAATAAAGATTTTTTTCCTGCTAGCATGCAGCAATACCTCCATCATTGCCACACAATGTTTATTAAGGGTCTCCCAATACACATGCCACAGTCTCTTTACCATAAGCACAATAGGTTTCTGAGCAGAAAGTTTAAAACACCCTGAAAATCCAAACCGTGAGACAAATGGCACATCATGGGTTAATATTTTCCACAGGGTGCGTTTCCTGGTGGAGGAGGGCTATGAAGATCGAATTCTGATGGCACATGACATACACACGAAGCATCGACTCATGAAGTATGGAGGTCACGGCTATTCTCATATACTCACCAACATTGTTCCTAAAATGTTACTTAGAGGTATAACTCAGCATGCACTTGATAAGATACTAATAGAAAACCCTAAGCAATGGCTAACTTTCAAATAGGATGTTATGTGTGAGTTTACACCTTGAGTATAACCCTTGCAGGTAACATTCAGTGATTTCAAACCTACTGTGAGATATTAGCCAGAGCTACATAGAACTAATGACAGAGCATTTCCTTCTTATGAGAAAGAGAAGTTTGCCTTCTCTGAAACTGGCCAACTATTAGATTTGCACCTCTGGGGAGTTACTGAACCTAATTGAGCCCTGTCGTTTTGCTTTAACAAAATAAATACAGGATTATGTATTTCCAAACAATGATTTAAAGCCTATATCCCTTAAGTAAGGTTTTTAGGTTTTTTCCTAATCTATCAACTGCACTACTTGAGAAAATTTAAAGTGTTTCTAGTTAAATTGCCCCCTTCTGGAGCAATCTGATGTTTCTTGTAATATTGATGATCCTACTAATTATCCTGCTGTTCTTTAATTAATGCTTAATGAATAATATGGCAATTTAAAATAGCTTTTGCAGTAAGGGAAATTAAATTTTGAGACTTTTTATCAAAGACTACTGTAATATAATTACCAAATCACAACAATAAAAATATTTTGGAAGATTAATTATATACCATCTACCTGCATACATATACCCATAATAAATAAGTTTTGATGCCTTTTCCTTTCTTGTATCCATTTTTTTCTATAAATTTTGTTGTGTTTTGCAACGTTTGTATAAAAACACATAACAGTGAATTATAAAATTCAATCATTAAAGTCAAAATATATTACATAATATAGTTTAATGAATCATTACATTTATAATAACAAAGGCCACAATTTAATTAATTTATAAGATATAATGCAAAAAAAAAGGTCCCTTTATTTCCTTTACCTTTTTTGTTTGTCCTCGGGCCTAAACAGAGAAAACTATTCTTATTTATCTGAAGAAAAGGTCAAATCTTTTGGAAATGACAGTCTGATTCTAAAGCCTACCTCTTTAAAAGGTATCCAGCCCTGATATTTTGTATAAATAAACCCTTTTTTAAAACTGTGAGTTAAAACTTTTGATATTCACTGTTGTTCATAAATTAATCATTTGATTGAATACTCACTATGCCATTTGGTACCTAGAACATGTCTCCAAACTTTTACTGCCAATTTCTCTTTGATAAATACATATTGTTAAATAGAAATAAAAAACTATTAATTCATTTGTGAGCTATCTTACATATCAGAAAAGCCAAATAGAATTTGTCATTATTCTTGATGAAAGGGCTAAGTGTTTTTAATCATATAAATCACGATGGTTACTCAGACCAAGGCATTTAAACAAAGCAAGCATCACCTTCAGAAGGGAACACCATGAATAACTCTTGGAAAGTCGAAGTTTGTTAAATTAAAGATATTTCAGCTGATCAAAGATGATCAAGCTCTTCGTGTATTGGAACAGAAAGTACCAAAAAGGAATGAGCCAGGATAACAAACCAAATCCTTTAAATGAAAAATGCAAATGTCCTTCATCAGTAAAACAAGCAGATTTTTAAATCTCTGATTTTGAAATCTACTTGTCAAAGTCTTCAAAGGCAATGAAAAAGGAAGCGATTTCTCATATAGTTAAGACAAATCAACATGCATTTTAATCTTTTCCTTAAAGAGATGGCTTTGGGTGGTGGTGTGTTTTAACTAGAGAGAAAGGGTTTGCACTACTCTAAAAATCTGCTTGACCGTCAGCCTCAATTCAACTAAGAAAAAAAGAAAACAACTGATAACTCAAATGCAAATTATTCATAAACATCTGTGAAGGAGAGCCACTTTATTTCTGCAGTCCTGATATTAATAGTCTGCCAGATAATGCAGTTAAAGTATTGATTGGCATATGGTAATAAAGCAACCATAGGCTTAACTTACATACATGTGAAGATAGGGCATTTTAACCTAGTTAAGATTTCATTTTCTGTATAACTCTTAAAGAGAAGTTGTTTTAATTATTTTGATAACTCCATATATTTTCATCATCTAAAATATATTTCAATTCAAAATAAGTCAAATAATTTATGCATGTTTCTGTGTGTATATATACACATATACTTTTTTAAATTAAAATTTTGAGGCTGTACAGCCACTGTGCCTCATGGACTGAAGCCATATATATATAATATTTCATCTAACATATATGTATATGTATATAAATGTGTGTGGCAGGTATTTATATAAAATATATACACTTTGTCATCATATTAGTTAGATGTGAAATTGTTAATTTTGAAATAACCTCAGGCCACAGATTTGTAGTAACTGTTTGAAGGCCTTACCTAGTGTCCCCTTGGTGAAGCATGCAGAAGCTCAAATTAAACCTTTGTGCATTGGGTTATGAATAATCTTTTGTTCCAAAAAAGGCAAAAGCCTCAGTCTGATTTAAAACCAAAGAATAAATTTCTCTGACTTTCCAAGTAAATCTAAGTGTATTCTATTGACAAAATGGACACACAGGGGATTTTCTAAATACCATACATAATTACACATTTTCACACTTAGAGGGTAATCCTATGGTACAATTTCAATATCTATTTTTAAAGACTATCACTAGAAAAGGAAAAAAAAGAAAATTCATAATAAAAGGAAAATGTGAAAATGATCATAGGCTTGGGAATTCCCACAAATCCAGAAAATTCCAGGTTAAGGCTTGAAGTTGAATCTTTCCCAGGTCTAGCTCTAAAGTTAACAAGAGTACAAGGCAAACAATTTCTTTGGGGACAAGCAGCATTACTTCAATTAGACCTTCTCCTGCAGGGTAAAATGATTCTTCCATACACTATGAATGGACTCCAGTATCATAATAAGCAGGAAAACTCACAAGAACCAAAGCTGACATATGGATAAGAGCAGCAAGATCACAGTACACCAAAGTATCATATATATTGAAGAAATAATTCAGTGTCTTAGATTTTTCTATAAAAATTTGTGATCTATAATAGGACTTCATTCACATGGACACTAACGATAGGAGTATTTGCTTTGGCGGTAGTGGATCACACATCTGCTTATCTTGCTTTAAATACTTTTTTACATAATGTTTCTGAGTGATACAGATGTGAGTCAGGTAGCATTTGATTTCCCCACATTTACACAACCGAGGTGCCCTGCAATTGGCATCCCCTGGGATCCTTGATTCACTGACGGTAGCCATTCAAATCCAGTGTTCAAACTCAGAATAATAAGCTTAGTTTCTGCATTATCAGTCAGCATAAATAATAAATCCAGAAAATGTGCTGTATTTGTTGTTGTTTCCTCCATGGGCTTTCCCACCATCTAATTTGATATAGACTTCATCTCCCGGCTCCAGATGCAGAACCACACTGTTACTGGCATAGTCGTAATTCTGATCAGCATCTTGGGCAATGGCACTAGCACGCACCTATATGAAACAGACAAGAATTAGAGTTTGTAAAAGAGAATTCTCAAGTTTTCGTCTTTTGCCATTCACACAGCATCCTAAGCAGACTTGCTACTGGAGCACAGAGAGTGTGGGGACGTCTACATGGCCTCTGAACTTTGCAAGTCCCTCTCTGTAACAGTTGCAACTATGTTATTGCAAAGGAAGGGAGAAAATGGTGCTTCACTGAGGGCTATTCCAGCAATCTTTTCTATCATTGTAAACAAAACATACCAATCTAATCTCTTCCTACATCACTACTTTTTCTAACTCCTTGAATCCCTATGCCCAGTCACCTTTTGAAATGGAAATAATAGTATTGTTTTGCATTTTAATATAAACCAAATAGCAATATTCTAACCAACTGAGTATGAGTACAGAAGTTCAAGTTTAACTTCGTTTGCTCATCACAATTGTTAGAAAATTGAGATCCACAGTAGGTAAAGACCCAGAGAAGTACCATTCTGCTACTATAAAAAAGAAAAAAGAAAGCCCTTTGCTTTAGGACTTTCAAAATCTAACACATTTTAAAACCCCTTTTACCAGGCTGCTTCCAAAGCTCAACTCATTTAAACATCTTTAGTTATACCACCCACGTTTTCAGAGTTCTTTTTTTTTTCTATTTGTGCTTTTTTGTCAATTATATGTGCATTTAAATCAACAATTGAATTGCAACATATCTAAAAGTTATAGAAGGAACTAAATCACCATGATTTGAGCTCTCTCAAATTTCTAGAATTTTTGAATGCTCATTTAATATCCTTTTATATTTTAAGGTGCTTTTGCTTTGAGAACATAGGTTGCTTATAATCTGCTCATGTTGAGCCTGTGGTCTCATTAGTGAGCTGATAAACATTTGCAAACAGTCAAATTGCCTATCTTATCATGTAATATGGACATTCTGTCACATCCTCAACTCAAATTAGGCTTCATATTCATTTAGACATATTTTGATTCTGCCTTGGAAACTCTTTGAATAGGCAGACTTGGATTTGATTTATTTCAGTAACACATCTTCTACTTTGTGGCTTGTTTCTATTCCACCATAATGATATTTCCCTGAATAACATAGCAAGTGATTTAGTGGTTTTGTAAACCTGCACTATGTAATAATGCATGACTTGGGGTACAATATGCTGGATTTTATCACTTGGCAAAATGAGAGAAATGAGACATAAGTCAAGAATTGCCATGCATTTCTTTCAAAATTTAAATGATAGATTCTCAAATTAAAATTTCATGTGATATATCCTCACATTAATGCTGAAATGTTAAAAAGGAGAAGGATCTTTGACACTGCTGAACTTGTGAAGTAATATGAGTAGTATTTTAAAATTTTCTTTTTGGATATCACATAGCAAAAGGAGTAAAGGGCTTAAATGATTTAGAACTGCTTAACAGTGTGCTAACTGGCACTAATATGATGAAAGCAATATACCATGCAATTATACTCAGAGGCAATTGACTCAATAGTGAAGTGATTGGTCTTGACCACTAAATAATAACACATTTACACACATAGTATTTCCTAGGAATTAATTGTCAGTTTGTAGAAGTTGAAGGCTTTGATTAATTTAATTAATTTCATCTAGTCATTAAATCCCAGGGGAAAAAAATCTACACCAGAGGGTTATGACTTGATTTTTTTTAACATGTGGATTTTTAATGGATGAGAAAATTTAAATACAAAAGAATACTTAGCTATGTTAGTAATGTATTAATTATCAAATATAATATACATCTCAGCTATTATTAATAACCAGACACACATTTTATTCAGTGCTTTGTGTATTTAGTGAATATCCTATGAGTCTTGTATCATTGTTTTCTACACAAAGATTACACTTGGCAACCAGGACACATTAAAAATCAATTTAGAGACAGTAGTCTTTTTTAATGTAGTTTTTGTTCTATAGGGTATAATCACAAAGCCACATAAACATTACCATTTTCAATTCAAAACCCTGAAGATGCATTGGAGAGATTCCAGAGACTGGACGGTCCACCCTGAACGTTTTTCACTTCCTTTGTTGGATAAAGCCAGTGTGATTGCTGTATAATGAAAGCAGTTCTCTAAGATTTAAACCTATATTCCATCACAAGACTTTCCCAATTAAGTAATCTCCATACTTCAGTGCACAGGGCTTGAGTGTACCCACTCACCTGTTCATACTCTACAGGTATAATGGGACTTGAAATTTCAAGCTCTAGTATCTAGCACAGTGGCTTCAGCAATTCTTCCTTTAAGCCATCAAACTATTGAGGAAGGTAATGCGTTCACCCTGAAGGCTATTTTCAGGTTCCTAAATGTACACTGATTTCAGCATTTTGTCAGGGACTACAATGTGTCCTTTTCTATAATATACTCATTTCTACCTGTATTTGCTTTAAAAATCTTTTCTTATTAGGTAAACTATTTAGATTCTGCTTTATCTTTAGTCCATCTTTCACTGCCCCTACAAAAATAATTAGTCTGATGTGTCATTAATCTCTCTAATAAAGTAATATCAAACCACAAACTACTCATTTTTTTCCAATATATTTCGTGTTTATTGCCATAGCTAATAAATTCTTATGAGTAAAAAACTAGTCTTTTATTATTTTATAATTCTAATCCTAAGCCAGTTTCATTTTTATTAGAGGGGCTTATTAGAGCAGCATTATAATAATTGTATTCATATAACATTTTTTTCAGGTTTCCAGCTACAAATATATAAGCATTAAAATTCTTTCCCTGTATCTCTGTAAGCTATTTGAGTCCAACTTTTACCTTTAATATGCACTGTCATGGGCTCTCAACAAATGGTAAGATTAAATTTAGGTTGATGGTTTCATGGGGAATATGAGAACCGTGGTCCTTTTAGTGGTCTGTTTTGAGGATGTAATAGGTTGTATGGTTTTAGCATTATCTTATTGTTGAGGGCTTATCATTAGAGACAATGTTGATGGTAACATTTGCTAATTTAATTAATTGCTGCTGATGTTCTCATAATTTCATTTTCATTGTACTTCTGTGGAATCATAAACAAAAGGTTAAGCGGCACATCAGGTTAATTTACTGGCCTTTGATGTTTCCATCTGTGATCCTACATTCAATACAAAGAATTTTTTTAAAAATGGCTCTGATACAGTTATGGTCCAAAAGGCATTGCTCCCTCCTAGAGTGAACTGTATTTTTTTGTTTATTTTTTGCACTTCTCAATCCACTCAAACCATAGAACATTACACTGACATGAATCTCTGAGTTTTTTTATTTTATGAAACAAACTGGTTCAGCTTGGGGAGTGGGGAAAAACTGCCATTCTAAAAAGTGATCAGACAAGAGTATAATTGAAAATCAAAGATAAAGTATTTATTTAAAATAAAAAAGAGATTTTTACAAGATTTCCTGTTCATAAGTGGTGCAGACCAGACTTGATAAAATAGTTCTAGAGATAAAATTCCTTAACAATGATATTGAAATGGAACCATTTTCTAAAATAGTCCACACCAAACTAAAAAAATATGCTGTTTACCACTATATTATTTATTTTTCTGAATTACCTGTTGCACACCTTTTGCAGAAATACAGCTTAATATTGGCATCGGAAAGCATTATACCTTGTAGTTGGACTATTTTGCCTTCCTTGTTTTTCTGATCCTCATAGAATGTGTAAGCTAGAGTGATACAAAGGAGCAGCTTATACCCCAAACAATGAAATAATTTTAAAAACAAAATGCACACAGAGTATCTGAAGAAAATGTTTTGCTTAGAACCCTGCAATAAACAATCTCCATAGTCTAGACATCAACATTTAAACTAATTTTTATGTATTATTCTGACTTGTGTATGCAGTTGCAGCATCCAGATGTCTTAAAATATGACCATTTTTATACACTTATGGACTTATGGACAAAACTGGAAACTTACTCCATTTTAATTGATACCTCTAAGGGGGAAAAAAAAATCTTTCAGCCTGATAGTATTTCTCAGACCTAACCTTTTGGTCAGAAGAGAGCCAATTTGTAAATAAAGGGGTGCCTCATGGCTGCCTGTGGAGGGGCTGTTCAAAACCATTTTGTCAGAGTGACACACTAGCTCTATTTTGGTAACGGTGAGTCATGCCCTTTACAGCCATTTACCTATAACTATCCCATAGCTCCGTGAATAATTTTTATTTATCCTAACATTATTTTCCTGCATAATAACTATAATAAACAACCCTGCCAGTGCCTCCTGGTGGTCATTTCCCCTCTTTTTTGTTCTGTGTGCCCTAGGGTACCCTAAACTATTTGTAGAAATAGATAGGGTCAGCATTTTTATTTCTTTAATTTTCTTTTCTCTTATACATCTGCGGACATTTGTCTTTCACTTTTGCAAGAATTCTGACACTGAATTACGTCATTTTTCCATTGCAATGGTTGAAGCTAAGGTGGTCTGAATTCCCAGAGGGCCAGTGACCTGAAACCCTGTAACCCTTGTTAAGTCAAAGTTGCTGCGTGAAATGAAGCCTCTTGAGGGCGATGGCGGGTGCTCGGGCCATTCCCAGTGCCACTCAATAAGCAGGCAAAGCCCAGGAACTTATTTCCGACTGCAGGCTGCAAGCTGAAAGGCCTCGCCCCAGCGGCTGCTGGTTTGCCGTGTACAAAAGGTCAGATTACACTTTTAGGTAGTAGAAATGTTCTTTTCCTCCTCTGACTAAGAGATCAAACATGCTTCAGTGTTGCAATGGTCGCGAATTTCTCTGGCAAACGGTATAGTGGCCCTAGCCTAACACTGAAAACCCCCGGCCCCTATGGCAGTGGCTAACAGCTCAGGACAGCAGGTCCTAGTGACTGAGGCTAATGTGAGGCTATTTTAGTCAAGGCCAAGGCTGCTTCCCTAGGTGAGCGGGAAGGCTGAGTTTGGAAAGGCTCTCTCACAGGTAGCTGGGGTCTCCCTGAAGGTGAGACCCATTGTCACACAGCGGCGATGAAACTGGTCGCCTTCCAGGCCACCTTCCTGGGCGAGTTCTTACTCCAGTCAGTAGAGTTTGGGTCCCGTGTTTGGGTGCGTGATTTTACTGTGTAAATCCCGAGTCTCAACTTTTGCTTCTCTTAGCATTCCTTGCCTCTTCAGCTGACAACTGGTTTCTTCAGCCAAGAACTAAACTCGAGTGTGAAATTTATTATTTGTGAGTTTCTCTGCCTGGGACGCTGCAAGGGCCCTGTGACTCCAGGTCTTACTGTCCCACTTCTTCCCTGGATGCGCCCATCGTGGACTCACTCCTTCGGGTCCCTTTTTTCTCCTAGGACCCCTTATCTATCTCCCCGGAGTTTGTCACCTCGACACGCCCATTCTGGGCTCTCACAACCCTACCCATTCCCGGGAAAGCTAGCGACCCTAAACTGCTGAAAATCCCAAGCTCAGAAGGTTATTTCCTGCTCCGGACCTCCCCGGGCACACGGGCCGTCGGAGGGGGTAGATAGTCCAGCGCTGGAGCTACCGGCTTCTCTCACCTGGAGGGTAGTGCTTACAAGCGCGCGCACGGAGCGCCGGGGAGAGACTTTAGAACCACCCTCTCCAGGCCGCGGGGCGCCCTCCTCGGGGTCCGATCCCCGCCTCTCTAGCTTAGCACCACGTCCGCCTAGCTGTAGCTCTCGGGATCAGGGTTGCCGCGCCCTTCCTCTGCCGGCTCCCACCCCCATTTCCGGGGTCTCCTCCCTCTTGCCTTTACCTTTCATCCCGGCTCCCCGCCCTCCCCACTGCCAGTTCGCACTCACCTGGTTGTTTTTGCAGAGATCAGCCCACATGCTAGTGCCGTCCCCTCCGCGCATCAGGACGTGGTAGGTGAAGAAGTAGATGCCCGGGATGGAGCAGGTGAATTTGCCGGTAGTGGGATCGTAGTGGTTTCCGAGGTTGGTGACCACGTCGTCGAACTTGAGCACCTCATAGCCTTCATGCTGCCGTTTGAGGCCAGCATAGAAGGCAATCTTGGGCACCGTGCTGTAGGTGGCGGCGCTGATGGCCCCGGCTGCGTTCAGGCCGGGCGCCCCAGGCGGGCCCGGCAGGCCTTGGCGGCCCGGCTCGCCCTTCTCGCCCGGGGGCCCCACAGGGCCCGGTGGCCCGGGCTCTCCTGGGGGCCCACGCGGGCCTGCTTTTCCCGGTCTGCCGGCCTCGCCTTTGGGGCCCTGGATGAAGGTGGGCAGGGACTGCATGAGGCCACGGTCGGGCGTGGCGGCGGTGCTGGGCGCCTTGGTGCCCCCGTAGGGGTCGCAGACCATGCGGCAGGTGCCCAGCATCTCGTAGTGCGCCGACGTGCCGGCCGAGCTCACCAGCACCGGGATGAGGATGACCAGCAGCAGCACCATCACCACCCCCAGCGCCCCGGCGGCGATCAGGCGCCTCCTGCTGCCCACCAGCCGGCTCAGCGCGGGGCGATCCTCTTGTCTGCTTTTGGACAAAATTTTGAAGGTTGGGCGGGGACCTTCTTAGAGCCGAAAACAATCCCCTTCGAACCCCAACTCCCCTGGGCGGGCGGGCGCCGGCCGCTCCTCGCCGGCTCCTGCTCCCCCAGCTGAGGCTGCGGCTGGGGAGGGAGCTCGGACGCCAAGTGACTTGAGCTGAAGTCCCGAGCAAAGGGTGGGGGCTGGGGGAGGGGTGCGCAGGGCGCCCTCTCGCCTCCTGCGAGCCCCTTCGCACCTGTGGCTGGCGCGGGCGCCGGCGCGGCCACCCGGAGGGCAGAGCCAGCCGCTGCCTCTCGCGCTGGTCCTGGTCGCTCACACTTTTATGCCACCGCTGCCTGCGATCGACTTTTCCGTTTTTGCAGACTGCGCCAGTTCGCACCAACTTTCCGTCTGAAGTTGCCTTTTTCTGCCTCCTCCTTCTCTTCTTTCGCTCGGTCTCTTCGCCCGTCCCCTGCCTTTTCCCCCCTCCTCTGCAGCCAACACAACTCTAATAGAAGCGCACCTCAAAGTCCCGCGCTGGCCGCAGGAGCTCTGACCAGGCGCCCCCCGGGTGCGCGGAGCAGCGGCAGCGGCTGGCACTGTTGGCTAGGCGAGCCTCCGGGCTGGAGTGGAGGAGCTAGCGAGCAGCGGCGAGCGCCTCTCGGCCGAGAGCGAGAGCGGAGCGAGAGAGAGACTGAACGCTGAATTCTGCCTGGGTACCACCTGCCAGGAGAAGAGGAGGCTGACAAACGCGCGCCGGAGCAATTTATAGGCACCCAAGGCACAGAGGAAGGGGAGCCGCTTTGGCATCTCATTGCAGCATCTGCTCTGCTCATCCCACTCAGAGAGAGTTTGGCATTACTCTGACAATGTGGGATTTTTTTTTTTCGGCCTGTCTTTTTTTTCCCTCTCTGCACATGGATGAACAGTGAGATCCTGAATACTCCCTTGCTGAACCCAGGCGATAGCAGTGCTCTCGCTGGACATACTTGGGGGAGGGAGACAGCTGTGCAACAGCTTTCAGGATTCAAGGGTCACACCTAAGCCCTCTACGTCCCCACTGCTGGCAGCCTCAGGTGGAGGGTGGAAGTGAAGGTTGAAAGGAGGGTGGCCTGGTTGACAGTATTTCTCTACTGGCTCACCCGCAGTCAGCGCTTTCAGGTGTTTTTCAAAATACCACTTTTAACATAAGGAAGGCCCTGTAGAATTTTCCAGATGGTACATATGATTTTTTTAACCTTATGATTTTTCTCCCCTGCCTCCTAAATGAAATTAGATATTAACCCTGTGAACAGTGAGATGGACTAAAAAACCAAAAGACATTTCTCAATGATTTTAAATGGACATGTCCACTGCATAACGAAGGGGCAGGGGTATTGGTTCTTTTTACAAGTGCTGCACAATGGGGAAAGTATACATATGTACTTGACTTACAGGCTTACAATTCTAGCAGCCTTTCAGAAGATATTGTCATTTGGACTTGAAGTCGCATTTGCTTAAAGGTGCTACATGCATGAGAAATAATCACTTGTCAAAATACCTTCAAAAGTCTTACAATAAAGCAAGCAGAGCCCACACAAGTTCTAGGCCAGGTCTTTTCCTAAGATATGGAAGAGTTCTATATGTCCCATAGCAGATTTCCTAAATGTACCTTGGGGGAGAGATAAATATGAAAAATATGACAAAAGTCCCCATTCACATTGGGAGAGCAGGAGAAGAAATAGCCTGGATTTCAAATATTAATAGAAAGCCCTTAGAGTAGATATTAGGTGAGTTATCCCACCAACAAATACATAAGACATAACAAGAACAGCTTTAAATAAATAAGTAGAATTGATTCCTAAATCACACTTCTGCATTCAGGAGCAATGACTGTCAATCAAACATGGATGACATTTGCTTGTCAATATGGGATGATGGCTGGGAAGATGTTCACTTATTACATCAAGGCAGGAATCTGAAATGAGAAGCAGGAACAAATAAGGCCACAGCAAGCAAACAATAGCATCCCGGGTGACCATAAGCAGCCTGTGATCTTGTTTGTAGGCTCCACAATGCAGACATCTCCTTGGGGCTTCCTCAATCCCCTTCACCCACCTAACTTCCCACCCCACCTCACCCCAACAGTTTACTCCTTTCTTGCCTTCAAAACAAAATAAGGTCAAATGAGAGACTCAAGGAAATAAAGATTCATTGATTCTGTTAAGAAGACGTCAGCAGCTCTTTAAGGTCTTTGTAGGAGAATCAACTCGAAGGAGTTGGGCTGTGCTGCTGAGCATGGCCCAGGAATCCACATTATCTGTCCATCCTACCTGGGTGCTGACAAACCTGGTATCAGAAAATAGCCCTTCCCACTTCTCAAAACTTGAATTTTTATTTTAGGATGATGGTTTTGTAAATGTACATCCATAACTTGGACATAATTTATATATATATATGTATATACATGTATATAAAATAAAATTTTATATAATTTTATTATATAAATATTCTTTTTTTTTCTATAAATTTCTTTTTTACATGAGCTGTCTTATTTTTATGTTTTTAAACAGTGAACACGTAATAAGTTCTCTACTGGCCACAATATGTACTTTCCTAACACACCTGCTGGGTTGTTCTCAAAGTCACTTTTAGGAGGAAAAACTGGTGAGATATGGTACCAGCAAAGGAGGGTAATATATTAACGAAATAAACGAATCTCTGGTGTCCCAGATTATCAAAATTCCTAGGATCCCCTTAGCCTAAGGAGAGTTTGATGAGGGATTAAAAAGGAGTTTTTAAAATATAGAGGTATATAAATAAATTCTCATCCCAAACTTCAAGAATGTTTATATGGAGGAACCCATCAAAGATGACAAAGATGAAATATGAGAGTTGGAACAGATTCTGAAAAGTTGGTGTATTTTTCTCATGCAGAGGAGATGACAGAGAAAGAGAGGGGGGGGGAGCGCTGTGACTAGAATCACTGCCATCCAATGGGCTACCAGGGACACTTCTCTACACAATACTAGAACACCCCATGGCAACCTGAGATTGATGGTAATAGTCCTAATAATTGAGGTTTTCCTCCTTCCACTTTCTCTGATGCCAAAGCAAAGATTTATTTTGCAAGTGAATGCCTTCACATCTCAAACTCTTCTGATATTTGGAAAGGTGCTCACTATTCCTTATTCATAACGAAGGTGTCCTCTCCCAGGCCATATAGCTAACCTTAGACTTTCTGTCAAGTGACATATGAGGGTAGCATATGGGCATTTGACTTTTGAGTGACGTCAATTTGAGTTATTGTCTCCTTCCTGTCTAGATATATTTCATGCATTTGAGAGGAAACCCTCTTTTTGATTCTCCCAAGATTTTCAGGCATGATTTGGTAGTGGATGGAGGTCTGACTGGTTACTGCCATTTTATGTTGCATGGATTTCGCAGAAGCTTCTCTGGAAAGTTACTCATGCTTCAGGGCTTGATTGACAATTTGAATAAACCATCTGATATGGCATATTACTCATCTGCTATATGTATATAATAATAGAAAATGTGTCAATTAAACAATATTTTATTTTCTTAAGTCCTCAACAGAAAACCAAGTTTTCTTTCTTATTTGATATTAATCTTGGAATTTCATTTTCCCAGCACGTCCCAACCATGCCCCACATTCCCACTCGTGCTTGCTGCATGAGGACCTTTGGGACCTTTCCCTTGATACAGCCCAATCCAGAAACCCATGACTGGGGTTTGGTGGCAATTCTTTAAGTCTTATCTTCTCCACCTCCTTCCTGTCACTTTCGAAGAGCCGAGCAGATCCTAAGCACATGACTCCCACACAGACGTGCAGGGCCATCCATTAATCTTTATTCAGCACCCACTGGCAGCCTAGCCCTTCCCTGGGCTCTTACTAGGCAAACAAATATTTAGTCATGAGAATGATTTCCAAAACCAGCAGCACTTAAACAGAAATAGCATTTCTTATATCAAGGAAAGATAAATAAATTAAGAATCCAAGGGCTAGCCACAGAAGCAGGCATAAAAAATATTAAAAATTGGAATTGGATCAAACTATTTACCTTTAATTTCTGGGTCTCCAAATTGTATTTCACAACATATGCTCTTTCAACTGGAGAATTATAGATTTCCAGCCAGAAAGGGTCTGCTTGGAGTTTTGTAGGGAAGCAGTATATCCTTATAGCTTTGGAACCAGATGGGTATTAATTTCAGTCTTAGCTGCTTAATTTAGTAGTTGTGAAAGTAGCTTCCTCTGCATGAGCCTCAATTTCCTTTTTCATAAAATGGGAATGACACTAATACCCAAATCACAGGTTGTGAAGATTAAATGAGTTAATATGTATAATTATCATGGTACCCAACTACTAATAAGAGACCAATAGATGCCAACTTGCATCTTTGTATATTACAGGAATACTGAGTAGTGTGTGTGTGTCTATAAATTGGATGGCAGAATAAAAGGTTTGTAAAGGAAGCTAAAGCCAAAAGGTCAGACTTAAGACAATGGACAATTGTATTGTAGATTTAAATAAGTATTATAGACTCTGATAAAACGAGAAAGAACACAAAAGTTCTCCAGGAGAATTATTATGTGTACCCTTCAACAATGCAAGACAAAGCAGAACAAAACTCAAAACAAGAATTACTTTCCCCTTCTCCAAAGAAGAAAGGTTATTTGAATTCATTGCAGTTTGATAGACCAAGTTTTCAGATGCAGGGCCTAATAGGATGCATTTTGTCCTCTAGAAAGCCCCCTAAGTCAACAAGTTGTGATCATATTTTAAAGTTATTGAAGTAGTTATCTGGGAACTGTTCCTTGAGATGATGATTCTCAAATAAGCAAACATACCAAAGAGGGCTGCTTTGTACATCAGCCAGAAGAGTAATCACCCTGAAGGACACCTAAGTCATAACCACATCCAGTAAGGACTTTTTAGCACAAAACTCTCCATAAAACAGAGTGAGTTGGAAAGCTAGTTTGACAGATCTATTGTCAGAAAATTATTAAACAGCCCAATGGAGATAGTAGCTTGAACATTATAGAAGACAATGTATGCCTTCCAATGGGTCTCAAATTCTGTTATGTCAATAGAAGGATAAAATCTCCAGGATAGATATATTCTCTACTTTCCATGGGTAGAATGCTTGGTCATTCTGACCCTACTGGTGTAGAATGAGATCCAAAAGGTCAGCAAGTTCTCTTGGACTATGGTCGTGAGAACTCAGTCATAAAAGGAAGATGCATGGATTCAAGAAACCAAAACCAGCTGCCTTCAAACTATAGGGAATGCTCAAGCAGAAGATCTGTCACAGGGACACAAGGGTGTATCAGTGGACAGGTTGACTGGACAGGCAGTGGTGAGAATTGTGATGGTCTCATTGCACTGTTTTTGTTTTGTTTAATAAAACCTGAAGCAGCGTGCATTTTGGAAGAAAAGGTTACAGGAAGCCTTCAACAAAGCCAGACCCTGCCAACAGCAGCTGATATTCTAGAATCTGGATCTAAAAGTGATTAGGATAGAGAAGGCATGAAAACCAAGTACAGGTGTATGCAGCCCCACTCCTAAGTGAGTGCATTTCCGGAGCCACACGTCTTCCTGTAGGAACAGCTCACCCCGTGAACAAATACCTGCCCCTTCGGGGTCTGTAGGCAAATGGACACACAAACTTTTTCCTAATACACATAGGCAATCTCTCAGGGATACTTATTTCTTAACTTTGTAAAAATAAATATTTTTTAAAATCTTATTCCTAAAACATAAATTGAAGAGGTATTTTAGATTTGTAATTAGCTATCAGG